TTGCCTCCTCGCCTCTCACCATATGAAACATCACCCAGGTGTAGCCTCACTCCNTCACTGTTTTATTTTACTGAAACATCAGTAATATAATTTTGAGTTTTTCTTAAGAAAATCTTACATTTATCTGGACACAGGTTCAGACTAATTATTTAAACAGAAATGTTAATTAATCATCATAAATGTTTTACAGTGATTCCTCTTACAGTATAGCAGAAAGAAGCAGAGAAGATATTATTATATTGTCTGTTTAAAACAGCTACAGAGCAATGACCTTCACAGGCACCTGGCAAACTCTTTCTGACTGAGGGCGTATCTAAGGCTCCGACTCTGGCTTACTAACACGGACGCCTTAGAGACACATCAGCAGTTCCTTCCTGGATGCCGATATGGGAAGACGGGCTGATTCTCTCCGGAGAACAGCCAGGCCGCAGGTTTGACTCAAGAGCCAATTCGAGTCGGCCAGGGCAGGAGCAAGCCGCTCCTGTCCACCTAGAGACCCAGGTCTCTTAAGTGTTTTCAACTCCCGAGGGGAGACTTTTATTTTGAAAGACGACCGGAACTTTCAGCTGGAATCTTTCTAGCCTGGGCTGAAACAGACGGAAAAGTCACCTGAAAGACACCTTTTYGCCAAGGACCAGCGAGGACAAGCTTCCTAGAGGGTCGTTGGTGAGACAGTACCACCCGGGGTGTTTTGAGCAGGCATCACCAGGTAATGCTGACGTGTTCGTGGGTGACGTGTCAAGTTGAAGCCTGAGAGCAGAGAGGACGTGCTAATCCGGTTGTAAACCTTACCAGAATAAAAGCAGAAACACTAATCCCTAATTTTCTTACCTTCTCTTACCCTTTAACCCTTTGCCAACCCTAAGTGAAGTGCCAGTAAATTGTTTAGTTTTTAACATCAGAACTGACGTTTACTGTCTATATAAGTAATCTGAGTTAATGTGAAAGAAATTCGGACGCGGGTTTTATCTCATTTACTTAGACTCTTAGTAGGAAGTCCACGATCAGGTGTAATTTATGATTTGTTCAATTTGTGTAAATAAATGATTGCATAATCTTTTATGAATCAACTTGAACTCGTCTGACGTTCCCTCATTGTGTCACTTCACTTTGCACAGACAAATATTAAAGTAATGAGGAAAACCTTGGTAAAATTTTCTCTCATAACTTAGTTATGAGAAGATGTAGGGGAACTTATTTGCATAAGTAACTCATTCCTACAAGTACAATTGCCCTTAAACTGTATGACTTCGGTTAAACGTTTTGGATCTCCTTCCACAAGCTTCTCGCAATAGCTGGCAGGAATTTTGTCTCATTCCACCTGACAGTGCTGGTGTAACAGAGCCATGTTTGTAGGCTGCCTTGCTCGCACATGCCTTTTCAGCTTTGCCTATACATTTTCAAAAGTATTGCAATCAGGGCTTTGTGATGGCCAAACACTGAATACAGCCGTGTTTCTATTAAATTTTAATGCAAAATTTTAAAATGTCGAATAAAGGGAAAAAAAGAGAAAATGTGAATCAGGCATGTTTCCATCTACTGCAAATCAACCAGGCTATGCAAAGTCTAATTTCATCAGATGTTGATGTTGCTCGTGGCTGTAGTAAACAGGAAGTAAAGTCACAAACTCGCAGGGACTATACATCTCAGGACAATGGAGAGAAGTTATCAGGAACGTGTTACTACTATCGAGAAAGTTATAATTATTCTGTCTTATCAACTAGTATTGGGTATGTTACTTGCTGTCTGTAGACATAGAAAAAGAAATGCAATTCTCTTMCCCTTATGGAAATATCCAGGAAGATGCTGACAGCGGGACAAGGGTACAGCTGCAGCCACAGTAGCCGGTAGAATTGTTGGACAGCGGGAACAGCTGATCAATCTTGTGAAGTAAATGTTCGCCTCGTCAGAACTTATTTGGCAAATGTGTTTTCATCTACCCTTTTGTGCGTTAACTCTTTAGAAAAATCCAAAAACCACCTCAAGCATGCGTATCAAATTTTTTTAGGATTCAGAGCAGCCGTACACAAAAACAGGTTTAGAAAATTTATTTGTAAACCAGAAACTGGCGTATCGTTGGACCCTCGGGGTGGACCACTCTGTGGAGCAAAACACTGATGAGTATTTGGAGCCAACAAGGGATGTCTGATAAACAAGTCAACTACTGACCTTCTTATGACAGGGGATGGTTCCTGACACGTAAGAACATCATAGATCAAAAACTAAGTGGACAGAACTCTAAGCAAAAGGGCAGGCTTAGTTTGAGAATCCAGAGGGAGTTCCAAGGTCAGAGCCGGAGAGTCAGAGAGCCAAAAACAAATCCAATATACGAACCATGAGACGATGTCCAGAGGGCATAAATGGGGTCGAGAGCCAAGGGTCAGAATCAGCATGAGTACCAGACAGGGATCAGGCATGAGACAAAGGTCCAGGGACTGGCAATGGGTCAGGAACGAGAGATCAAGCATGAACTGTGGAAAAACGCTGGACATCTACTTGGCGAACCGTTCAATAATCTGGCAACAAAAGACTGARAACATGGAGCTTAAGTAGGAGGCAGAACAGGTGAAACAGATGAGGCTGATTGCTGTGGCAGTGAAGCAGGAGGTGTGGCATGAGCAGAGGATCTGTGGAGCAGACTGTGGGTGACAAGCAACCAGAATGTGACAGTTTTTGTAGTTTCCATCCAGCTTTTCTAATATGATACATCAAAATATGCATAAAAAACTTTGATGGAAACACGGCTATTGACTTTATGATCCTTGTGCAATTTTGTAACCAGTTTGGCTGTATGCTTTGGGTCATTGTCTATTTGGAAGTCCCATTTGTGTCCAAGCTTTAACTGCCTGGCTGACGTCTTGAGATGTTGCTTCAGTATTTCCACAAAATGTTCTTTCCTCATGATGCCATCTGTTTTGGGAAGTGCACCAGTCCCTCCTGCAGCAAAACACTCCCACAACATAATGCTGCCACCCCCATGTTTCACAGTCAAGATGGTATTCTCAGGCTTGCAAGCTTTCCCTTTTCCCCCATGAGTGTCTGAATGTGTCTGCATAAATAATGTAAAGCATCTTTGAGTGTCCTAAAAAGCATTATATAAGACCAATGCATTATTATTATTACTTTTCCTCCAAAGGTAATGATCGTCATTTTGGCCAAACAGTTTGTGGTCGCAAAAGCAGAAACACGTTGGAATAATACCAGGAGAGTCTGCGTATATGATAATCAAACATGGTTTAATTATGAGCAAAAAGATGCAATAAGATGTAAAATTTAAAAATGCAACTACAAGTGCTGATACTGGAGCTAAACCTGAATTATTGTTTTTTATATTTATTTACAGTACAGACCAAGTCTGATGTGGTCGACTGAAACTCTCAGTTGAACCAGGTCCAGGCTGAGAAGTTAGGCTTTGGCTGATGTTTTCATGATTTAGCATGTTTGGCATCAGTATTTGAGTGACCTCTCTGACTATTATACATCTTGCTGTTGGAGTAATTAATGTTGGTCAACCACTCCTGAGGAGGATAACAGTGATCTTGAATTTATTCCATTTGTACTCAATCTGTCTCACTGTGGACTGGTGGAGTCCAAAATCTTTAGATAGTTTTTTGACCTTTTCCAACCTGATTGAGCATCAACAATTCTTTCTCTGAGGTCATCAGAAACTTCCCCTGTTCGTCATGATACACTTCTACAAACATGTCGAGAAGAACRGACTTTGACAAATCCCATTTTTATATACAACAGGGTGCCCGCCTACACCTGATTATCATCCCAAACACCTGACTCTAATTTAATCTTCAGTTAACTGCTAATCCAAGAGGTTCACTTACTTTTTCCACTCACAAAAATGTTATGTTAGATCATTTCCCTCGATAAATAAAAGATTAAGTGTAATGTTTATTGACATTTGTTTAACTGGGTCTCTCTTTGTCTACGTTTATGACATCTTCACATGGACTGTCTTATTGATGGACAGATAGGGACAATTTAGCGAAGAAATTGTTTGATAATTTTGTTACTGAGATGTCAAACTAAAGGACTACATCCAGGACTAGAGATGTAAATTAGCCTTAGGCTAAATCTGGTGCAATGCATCAAATCTTTTTACGTTTATGTTTTACTTGCACATTGTCCTAAACAAATAAATTCATTCATTCAAGAAGAGCCAAGGTTTTATCAAAGGGTCACTTGTGACCCTGACCTTTGACCCTGTGACTTTGAAATTAATGGGGATCATCTTTGACCCATTTCTATGTTAAATTTTATCAATTTAGAACTCAAACAATAAATTGTCCACAGCATGTTTTAGAACTTACAAAACCCCAGGATCATGGCACCATATTTCAAAGATTATTTCTAGAACCTGTTCTAAGTGATGAGATTACACTAACACCCCACCCCCTCTTTACAGTGATGGTGAAATGAATCAATTAATTTGAGTGTTTTATGTATCAGGACATAAAATGGATCTGGATTTTAAGTTCTACATTTCTTCAAATCTAAAATATCTTCTAATCTTACCTTTCTTTTTTATTTGCTGTAAAGATCTATTGCATCCTTTATGCAGGTGACATATTTTGACATGTTTTTTAAACACACGCACAGTGACTATGTGAGCAAAGTGCATTTATTTTGGGATTAAAATGTAATTGAAATGAACAAAAAATGAAGCTATAGTGATTTTGATATGAAGTTAAGGAGAGATCATTAGAGATTTGGCGACACGTTGGTCTGCAGTGTGTCACGTGATGTAAAAACATCACATATATCTTACCTAGGAACAACAAGAGCTGCAGACTCACTCTGCCTTCATGGAAACATGAATCAGCTCTAACCTGTGAGTTATCTGTGCAGGTGAAATGTTCGTTGGGTTTTTATGTGTTTAATCAAACAGGCATCTGAGTTGTTCAGTTTGTTTTGAAGTGTAAATGTCATGTCCTTTTCCTCTCAGTTGCTCTCTAATGTCTCAGCTAATTTCCAGAATGCAGATTTAGAAAGAGGGATGACCTTCACTTTGTGTACAGTGCCAGCTTGTGTGTTTCTCTTCATTAACGGCACAATGCTGTTTACTCTGATGAGTAAACCTGTTTTTTGTGAAACCTGTCGTTACATTCTCCTGTATAACCTCCTTTTTGCTGACACTGTACAGTTGGCAGTGTGTCAGGTTCTGTTTCTACTTACTGTTTGTAACATTAGACTAACATATCCTGKATGTGGTACTATTACAACAATCGCTAACATCACAAATGTCATCTCTCCACTAACACTAGTGCTGATGTCTCTGGAGAGATATGTAGCTGTGTGCTACCCACTGAGGCACGCTATGATCATCATCATCAGAAACACAAGAGTGGCAATTGCTGTACTCTGGGCTCTCGGTGCACTCCACAATCTTATTCGTATCATTTTGATGTTAGATTTCCCTTTTGAAGAGCTGAAAAGYCTCCAGATGACTAGTTTCTGTTCTGACTTTGCCATGATGCTGGGCTCCATGTCTAATGATTATGATACAGCCTTCACATCTGTTTTGTTTGTTTCATCGGGTACAGTAATTGTTTTTTCATTTATTAGTGTTATGATAGCTGCCAGGTCAGCCTCCACAAACAAAGCTTTAGCCCTGAAGGCTCGTAACACACTGCTGTTGCATCTGGTGCAACTGGCACTCAGTCTGACCTCAACTGTTTATAACCCAATGCTCATAATGCTCWCAAAAATTGTATCAAGGGTTATCTTTGTGCGATTGCATAAATTTTTGTATGTATTAATCATTTTGTTTCCCAGATGTTTGAGTTCTCTTATTTATGGTCTTAAAGATCAGACCATCAGACCCGTTCTCCTGCAGCACTTATGTTTTCGATTGAATGTCAACAGTGTTGCAGCCAGTGACTGAGAGGTTTCGTCTAGGTTGAAGCCTTCAGAAGTCATTGACTGATCATGAAGACACTGATGCAATTATATTTACATCTTTTAGGTTTGCTTATGTCTTCAATCAGCAAATGCTANTGTTACAGCTGGTCTAGCAGTAATTTCCTCCTATACTGGAGTTGTACTAGCAGCTAGATCAGCTTCTACAGACAAAGTATCGGCCCTTAAAGCTCGTAAGACACTGCTGTTGCATCTGGTGCAGCTTGGCCTCAGTCTGTCCTCAACCGTTTACTACCCATTGCTCATCGCTCTTGCAACAAATGTAACAAGAATAGTGTTTGTAGGTGTTCAGAATGTTTTCTATGTGATTATCATCATCTTACCCAGATGTCTGACTTCACTCATTTATGGTCTCAGAGATCAGACTATCAGACCTGTTCTACTGTACAATCTATGTGGTCGACTGAAAATCTCCATTAAACCAGGTCTAGCCTGAGAAGTTGGGCTTTGGTTGATGTTTTCATGAGTTAGCTGGCTCTATTTGCTGAGTTCATAAGAGACTTGTGATCATCTGTCAAAGAAACCTACATCAGTATTATTAAACCTGACCTGAATTAAGTTAAAATGTTTTTAACTAGAAGTATACTATTGATATAGAAGACTTATCATCAGTGATTTTGTTTCAACAATAATTTTTTTATTCAAGTTTTTGTATTTTATGTTTTGGGTCAAAATTATTTTACATGAGAAGTAAGTTCGACTTGTAGACTTGABTGACAGACCTGTATAAATATTGCAATAAAAGTGCAGTGTAAAGGCTAAAAAGCCCCTGTATTTATTTATTGCTTGCAAATGCACAATTATATTCTTATTTTTGAAATTTAAAAAGAAACAAAGCCTAGTTGAAATATAAACTGCTACAGCATCAATTTAATGGCCAAAATATACATTGGAATAACATTGCACAAGTAATTGTACTACTTCTTTGATTTTGATTTGATTTCTTACCAGAAATCTCTTGAATGTTTTATTCTTGTGCTGCATTCAGGCCAAATACAATTTGAGCATTAGCCATGTCTTGTTTACATGCACAGTCTATATTGAACACGCATCTAGGGCTGTTGAAGAGTACTGCAACACGTTTTGAAGCAGTTTGTGCATCTGGTACTGCAAGTTTTCAGATTTTGAGAATTTCACATGCATATAGTACATCTAAAGAGGCACATTCTGAAGTTGAAAATCAGATTTTGCAGCTGGACGCAGAGCATCAACCAATCAAAGAGACTCTGCTATGTGACATAGTGGCATATTTTTCACAGATTTTCCAATGGGACCGAAGGACTTAAGGCTCCAGAATGCTGCTGCTGAAATCTGGCCAAACTGTCACAGTTTCATGACGAAAATTGCGTCATCATGTTCGCATTGTCAATGTTTCAGCACTTCTTGTAGCAACCCGTGGGTTGAACTTTTTCCCTCCGCATGCAAACTATTGTACGATTGGTCGGAATTCTGTGGGCGYGTTTGTTTTTGCGGAAACAGAACACAACTGAAATGTTTATAATTTGTGCACTGCGCTTCCACGATCTGTTTATTTGTTTATATGGAAGCATCGCATTTTTCTGCATCATGGATACATTTGAGGAGCAGCAGGCCGAGGCAGTCTGAAAACAATTAATCTCAAGCGTCATATAAAGATGCACAGATGGCAAAAAACTCCTGGATGGAGATAGTGAGATCATTGTCCACAGAGGAGACGATTTGTAGGAAAGTGTGGTGATGTCTCAGAGACCAATTTGTGAAAGCAAAACGGAGGATTCATGGGCGAAGTGGGGATTCCGGTAGAACTAAACCTTCTCCTGCTCTGTACACAGCCCTGCAGTGGTGGGACGTCATGTGAAGCACCGGGAGACCGCAACAAATATGTCCACCAACTTTTCACAGGCTGAGGGAAAGCACACCACCGTCTACTCTATGAWAATGCTGTCTGTTGCTGTGTCATGAATTATAACCAAATGTGTGTGTGTATTTATRTATATATATATATACACTCACCGGCCACTTTATTAGGTACACCTGTCCAACTGCTCGTTAACACTTAATTTCTAATCAGCCAATCAC